TGTTTCTGCCTCCCAAGTGCTGAGATTAAAGGTGTGTGCCACCACTCTGGGCATACTAGGGTTGGTACTATGTGGGGCTTCAAGTATTGATTGGGGATCTGGGAATGTACTCCCAGAAATGAAGGGGCTTTAGTATAAGGCTCTGGGCAGGTACGTAAAGTGTATAAAGCAACTCCTCTAATCCTACCCTGTGACATAGAAGCTATTACTAGCCTCGTTTTACAGATGAGGAAATAGAAACACAGAGAGTCTAGGTAACTTCAGCACATCACACTGCTACATCTGTACTTGAGCTGAGAGCTGGTTCCCTGCAGCTGGGTTGTGATATCGAGTCCACTGGCTGAGAGGAGTTCAGTTCACTCGCTGCTCTGTGCTCCTACTCCCGGTTGCAAGCTTGGTTCCTGGTGATGTGGGCACTGACCAGCTTCCATGGTTTCTACTTTCTCCTGAGCAGGGCCCACCTCACCTGCTGTGCCTGCTCTGTGGCCCCCAAATGCTAGCCCTGTCCCAGGGGCTTTAACTGGGGACAGTCTTTCCAGTTGGAAGTGTGTGCCTCATTTACTCAGTCCATCTGTGTTAGTGGCAGTGAATACAAAGATGTGATTGGCCAGAACCCACCTTCTACTGTGTGTGTAGGAGCCAGTCATTTGGCTAGCACAGGGAAGGAGGGGCCATCTCTGAATGCATAATTATCCAGAGAGTGACATTTCGAACTAGGCCTTGAAGGATATATATAAGCTCACCATTCCAGACCTGCCCCTTGCAGACTCAAAGGTCCATTTGGGGAGGTTGGAATGGCAGGAACAGACTCTTTTGGGGCACTGGCTGGCGGTAGAAGCAAGACAAGGCTGTGCTGAGGAGTTGGTAGAGGATCCTAAGCAGGATTGAGATGCAATCTGCCCATACTCGGTGGCAGCCTGTGGATTGACAGGAGCAACGTTGATAGGGAGACCCAGCCTATGGAAGGGTAATTGGAAGGGTAATTGTGAACTGGTACGTGGTGGGCTGGGGAAGAAGGCTAGGGTTTTGTGGTCTCTTTGAAATTATTTTCTGGGACATGATATTAAGTGCCCAGCAGAGTGGTGCTAGAGAGAAATGGGCAGGAGTGGGAGCAACAGTACCCAGGAAATGACCTGTGGTCTCTATCCCAACATTGACCAGCAATGGCCTTGTTTTCCACTTTCTGTGGGACCCAGTGCTCTGGTTTCCATATTGGTTATCTGCTGCTGTGTAAAGTGTTTGCTGAAACTAGTGGGCCACAGTATGTGGGGAAGGAGTGTGGGATGACATGGCTGGGGGGGTGCTTGTGGCTCAGGGTCCCTGGAGGCTGAGTCAGGATGGCCAGATCTTAGCTACCCTCAAACCTGATGGGAGCTGGAGACTCATAGCTGGCACAGCTCTCTCACAGTCCAGCGGAGTGGCTGACTGCGGGAGTGTCCTCAAGGTGACAGGCTTCCTCAGCCACCCAAAGGACCAAGACTGGAATCACAATGCCTTTCATGACTTTATTAAGAAGCCACACACAGTCAATCCTACACCATCCCATTGTGTTAGATTTGTATCCATGACAGAATATGTGAGACAGTCAACTTGAAGGAAGAAAAGCTGATTTTGGCTTACTTTCAGTCCATGGTCCCTTAGGCCTGTGGCAGCCCAGCACATTATGGTGGGAACCCCTGGCAAGGCCTATTTCTTCATGGCAGACAGGAAGCAAAGAAAGAATCAGGAAGGGATGGGGTCCCCGTATCCCTCTCAGGGGCATACCCCAGTGGCCTAACTTTCTCCTTAGGCCTGGGTTCCTCAGATTTTTATCCTTGAGTCAGAATATCTGACCACAGATGTCAGGAGGAAACATTAATTTTGATCACTGTTTAAAAAAAAATGCCAGTCCATGGGGTTGGAGAGATGGCTCAGCGATTAAGAACACTTGTTCTTGCAGAAGACCTGGGTTCGAATCCCAGCACCCACATGGCAGCTAACAACTGTCTGTAACTCCAGTTCCAAGGGATCCAATGGCCTCTTCTGTCCTCTGCTGGCATTGCATGACACGGATGCACTTACCTACATGCAGTCATAACACTCGTACACATAAAATAAAAATAATAAATTAAAAAAAAGCCAGTCCATCATGGTGTGAGGGTGTGACTAGACAGAGCATCTCCTCTTAGGCTGGCCAGGAAGCAGAGAGAAAGAGAACACCTATGGGCATCTGTCTTTCTCTTTTCTTCATTTATTCCATCTGGCCCCCAGTCCTTGGGACAGTGAGCTCACATTCCCTCCTGTGTTTCAAATAACAGCAGAAGGGAATCAGGTTAGACAGCAGGACCACTGCCCTATAGAGAAGACCAGATACAGGTAGTCAGGAATGTGAAGGAAGCTCCTCCGGAAAGGACACAGCAGGAAAAGCTCTTTGGGGTTGGGGACAGGTGCTCAGAGGTGGGGCCTGGCCACACTGGATGTGCTGGGGACTTGGCCTTCACTCTGTTTGTTGACCTTTTGCCTCTGGGGTAAGACTGGGGGACAGTTAGTTTCCCATGCAAGCCTATAGTCATGCAGGGACCTCCCTATCATGCTGTGATTGCCCCTTTGTCTCCAAGTGGAGGTACTTGCTGAGTGTCTGCCCACTTTGAGATAGTGTCTGCCCATATGGTCCAGAAGCTGGGCACTGCCAAGGGTGCCTACCTAAGTGAGTGCTGGAATCAGTCCAGTCCAGGTATGCTCACCAGGTCAGGGTTCTGGAGAAAAGGGACCCCTCCTCCCGCAGAGCCAGGCACATACCTGCACAGTCGCAGGCCAGTCTGCTTGGGTGGAAGGCCTTGTGTGTCTTGTGCAAAGACATCATATGGTCCTGGGCCTGAAGCAGACAGTGTTGTAGCTACAGAGGATACAGGGTGACATGCACATTCTCTGTACTCTAGAGGAGTCTAGTGCAGGCGGATAGTTAAGCTGGACTTCAGATAGTGCAGGCAGATAGTTAAGAGGACTTCAGATTATGAACTGTGCCAACAAAGAGGCAACAGGAGTGCTGAGGAAGACGAAAAGGAGGCCCATTGCAATGTGGGAAGTCAGGGAGGGCCTTAATGAGACAAACTCAGTGGATTCCACCATGCTGAGGGATTCATCCTGAGGACTGAGGGTGAGATAGAGGGTTCCAGGCAGCTAGAACAGCATGTACAAAAACCCTGAGGTACAAAAGAGCCTGTTGCATCTTGGGGCTGTCAGAAATGTGGAAGACACTGGAGGAAGACAGAGTTCTGGTCTCCAATGTGCCCCTAGTGTCCAGGCTGGGGTTGAAAGGTCCAGTGGACCCTTAGGATGCTGTCAGTTGATATGAGGTGTGGCAAGGGTGACAGTGCAGGAAAAGGCCAAGGGTGGGTGGAGATGATTAAACAATGGGGGCACATAGACTGCAGGAGACTCAACCAGGCCCAACTCAGTGAGCATTTATTAAGGCCTTAATGAGAGAGAGAGAGAGAGAGAGAGAGAGAGAGAGAGAGAGAGAGAGAGAGAGAGAGAGGTGTGGGTGTGGGGGAAAAACGTGGAAAGAGAAAAGAAGATACATATACAAATAGAGGGAGGAGAGAGTAAAAAGAAGAGAGAGAGAGAGAGAGAGAGAGAGAGAGAGAGAGAGAGAGAGAAGAGAGAATGGGGAGGGAGAATGGGGAGGGAGAATTCTGTTTATCTGTAGGAAGTAAGTGGAGGGGCATCCCAAAAGCAGGCTTTCTCAACCCTGGGACATGTCCAGAGGAAGACATGGGGCTGGGGTAGGAAGAGTGCTAATGAGGGGGACTATCTTCTGGAAGGGAAGGAGTTGCCACCTGGGTGGGGACACAGCTTCAGGGACAGCTGGAGAAGCTAAAGGTTAGCTGGATGGATGACATGGGGTGGGTATGTGTCAGGGGTGATGACTGTGAGCTCATATACTGGCTCTCAGGGTCAGCACAGCCTTGTTTAGCCCCAGCTGAGTCACGGGTCCAAGCTGGGTCAGGACAGGGTACCAATGGCCAAGGTGACATCCCAGGCTCCACCTTGCTGGCCTGACTGAGTGTGAGGAGGCCCAGAGCCTATAAGTCTGCTGGGCCTCTGCACAGTACCCCTTTACCTCCTTGCACTGCTGAAAGCTGGTAGTTGGAGCTGGTAGGGGTGCTGTGGGGTAGATGAAACAGCAGAGGCAACTACTGAGGACTGATTTGGGGTGCTCCCTTGCCTGCATCCCTTCTTTTTCTAACCACTGTCCCAGTGCTCCTGCCCTGGCAGGCCTAGCAGTCAAAAGACCCAAATCGGAGTGTGTAACCCATTTCAGAGGACCCCACCCCCACCCCCAGCCACCCCTGGGACATGCAGAGAAGGGCTTCAGGAACCTTCCTTACAGTGCCAAGGGCCCTGGGGGTGGGGCAACTGAGCGAGGACATTCCAGGCTTCGGAACCTGATAGGAAATTTGATTCCAGCTTCTGTGTGGGAGGGGAGCAAGTTCTCCAAGTAAGAGTGTGTGCGTATGTGTACTCACACGCAGGAACTTTGTGTGAGCGTGTGCCCACGTGTCCTGTGTCACAGATCTGAAGGTCTCTGTGTTGTGTGTGAGGTACCCTGCGTCGTGGTGTGAATTGGGGGGGCGGGTACAGGGGAAGAAGTGTGTGTGCTGTGTATGCTCACGGGTATGCTCAGGCTACTATCCCATGGGAGCTTGTGCGTGTGACAAGGCCACACACTGTCGGGTGTGAGAGGAGAGGCCCCCTTGCTTCTTGGCGGGGCTAGCACTAACCCTAACCGTGGCCTGGCCGGGATCCAGCAGACACCCTTGGGGTGCACACTCGGGTTCCCCGCCACCTCCCGTCCCCTCTCTCTCGTCCCTCCCCTAGTCCCTCCTCTCCTCCCCTCCCCTTGTCCCCCCCCGCCCCTCCCCCTCCCAGGCTGGGAGGCCGGGGTGGGAGGAGATTGCGCCCGAGTTTCCATTTCATACCTCGCGGCTAAAACTTTCTTTCTGTCTCACTCCCCGCAGTCTGCAGCTTCTCATGTCATCGGAAATGCCAGGCCAAGGTAAGCGGCGGCGGGGTGCGGGCAGGGCCTGGCGCGGGCGGGGGCGAGGCGGGGCGGGGCGGCCTCTCTTTGTTTATGCAAAGCATGGGGCGCGGGTCAAGGTGAAGGCCAAGGCGTCCACCCTGGAGGTCCCGTCCCGGTCCTGGCGCACGCGGCCCTGCGTGGGTCCACTGGGCCTGCCGGGAGAAGCTGTGTCCGCTGGACGAGAAGACGGGAATGGGGGACTGGGTCTTGGAGACGCCTGACACCGTGCCATCCACCCCTCTTCTTCAGCCAGGCCCCCTTTAAGGGGTGCTTAGTTTCCCCAGTGTTTCCTGGAGGATTGTGAGGGACAGGGAAACTAAGGCAGAAAGACTGAAGCAATTGCTGGGTCCTGGTTGCCCAGGCGTCTTCTCCGGATAGAGGGTGGTGGGTCAACTTCATGGAGTAATGGGAGCGTGAGGTAGTGGGGGTGTCTTGAGTCTGGAAGGAAATTCTGGAGAGTGGCTCAGCTCCAGTCATGCAGGCAGGACCCATTAGGACTTACCCCTGCCCTCCCCCGAGTCTGCTGGACTCTACTGGACTGCTTCATCCCTGCCCTTTCAAGGGCTCTGGCTGTTTAAACTTGACCTTCCCAGCAGGATCTCAGGTGAGGAGGAGGAGGAGGAGAAGGAGGAGGAAGAGGAGGAGCAGGAGGAGGAGGAGCAGGAGGAGGAGAAGGAGGAGGAAGATGGTGAGGAGCAGGAGG